GGCTCCCCTCCCCCGGAGCTCCATGGCGGCCGTGGGGCTCCCCTCGCGGGTGGGGAAGCGCCGGAGGCGGCTGAGGTACCGGCAGCCCGCTCTGGTTACCTCAGCCCGGCTTGGGGCTGGGACCGGGCCCTGTGCCCCTTGTCCGGCAGAGCTCAGCCGCAGGCCGGGCGTGCGGGCAGAGAGCAGAGACCATAGAGAGGGTGAAATTTATACCTTTATTGCATTAATACAAAAAACAGCAATCGGGGAGGGAATCAGCAGGGCTGCTGCTCAGCTGGTGCTGGCTTTCAGGGCTGCCATCAACAGCTTCCTCCAACCCAGCAGAGCCGCTTCAGCCACCCCAGGCTGGAGGGTCCGACCTTGGCCATGCGGTGCCGTCAGGCAGCGAGCTCGGGCAGGGCAGGAGGGCTCCATCCTCTGTGGTGCAGCAGGGATGGTGGCCCTGTACCCCTCCACAGCACAGAGGGTCCCCGGCCAGCACCCCACCGGCGTGGGGCCGGGGCAGCAGCATCACAGGGCCTGCTGGAGGAACACAGGGACGGGCTCAGGGTCACTCAGCTGGGACTCGGGGATGGCAGACCTGTGGAGCAGCACAGGGTGCCTCTTGAAGGCTCCAGGCCAAGCCAGAGGAGCTACTACAGGGGTCTCCAGGGATGGTGTGTCCGGTTTGGAGCATCTCAGTAACCGTAACTCCTCGGTGCTCGCATCAAGGGACAGGCTGGTATCCAGGGGGGCTTTTATTGCTGAGATTTCCCATCTGGGTGTTGGCATCTTCCCAAGGGCTGAGAGGTCACCGATGAGCTCAATGCTCTTGGAGGACAGGCTCTCCAGCTGTTTGGGGCGCTTTTCTTTCTTGCATGGCGTGGAGGTGTTCTGCGATGCCATGTCCATCAGGCAGCTGGCTCTGCTGGAGTGCTCACAAGAAAAACCAGACAGGTCAGAGATGACCTGGCTGTGGTGGGTCTTGCAGAAGCAGACAGGACTGTGGTCGGAGATGCTCTGGGTCAGGCTGTGCAGGTCAATCTTCACACAACTGCTCAGAGACTCCAGCTGCTTGACAACATGTGGGGAACTGCCTTTTGTTGCATTGTCAAAGTCCACGAGAAACTCCCAGGTGTCTGGTTTGGAGGCACTGCTGTTGTCCATGTAATAACTGCAGACAGGAGAACAATGGGTCTGGCTGGAGTCCCCAGCCATAAACCCATTTTCCAGGATGTCCTTTATGGTCAGGATGCTGGTACCATGCCTCTTGGTGGACAGCATGGTATAGAATCCCACCACTGCTAAACCTATGGAGAATAAGGATATTAGAATCAACATGTTATTGTTCATTACAGTTCACTAATGAGTTGTAAACGTAGAATAGCTGAACTGATTTGCTGCAAAATCCTGCCTCAATCTTGCTCAGGACAGCGAGGAACTTAGAGGGGTGCAGGACAGGTTGGTGGGCATCCAGCCTGTCATTGTCTTCTAGAGCAACACCAAGGCAACTGTTTATTGCTCAGAGGTCATCATGGAGCATCCCTAGAGTCATATTTATTTAGCCTCAGCCTGTGTACCATTGCTCTTAGCTTAGTGGAGAGTGTCAGTAAACCTTTCCATCTGCTCAAGGTACTAAGATGGAGATACAAGATGACTTTATCCATGTTCCTTGAGTCAGAGGACCATTAGCCTCAGTTAGAATTGAGTCCTTCTGAGATGGGGGCATTAGAACTGATCTCTGGTTAGGATGGGAGAGGTTGAGGAGCAGCTCTCATCTAAGCTTTGGCCCCCCACCTGGAGATCTGTGGGGTCCTACTGCCCACACAACGCACCAAGGGAGGTTCTTGGGGGCAGACCCTCCTGGCTGCTCTCATGTCCTACACCCCTGCCTTCTGCTCCAGGGGCAGGGGATACCTTTGTGCTTCTCCTCCACCCAGGAGGGAAGTTCTTACCACAGGTTTAGCCACCAGCTGCCTTCCTAGAGGGCAAGAGGGAATGGGCCAGGCTGGGGAAAGGGAAGCAGCCACTGTGGCCTGAAGCCATTTCTTACACCAAGTGTGTTAAAAGCAGAAGTAAAAAGCTCCTGAATTTATGAGGGGAGAGCTGTGTAATCACTCTAGAAGAAAAGTTTTCTTTAAGAGACTAAAAGTCTTTTTTTCTTAAAAAAAATTTAAATCAGCTAGCATGTGAAATAAATAGGAAGATGTTAATAATAAATAAAAGGTATATGGTAAGATGATAGACTAAGAGGCACTACTTACCTTCAGCTCCTATAGAGACCCTCTTCAAGATCTTGCTTTTTTTTTTGCCAGTGTTACTTAGAGTGCTTTTATAGTTCTGGTAATTAACAGGCTAATTTCCTAATTAAGCTAATTTGGGAGAGGGAGGGGTTTTTGATCGTTCCTGTTGAAGCACAGGGGCAGTGGCTGTGGGTAACTGCTGGGGGCAAAGGGGGTCCTGCCGGGGCTGGGGTGTGTTTGCAGCTCCTGGAGAGCAGGACCTATGGTCCTCTGCTGAGGGAGGAAGAGGAGGAGGACACAGGGAGCCTTCCTGCTCAGACACAACGCTTGGGGGAGGGTCTCCAACCAGGTGACATCTCTCTTAAGGTTAGTTTGGCAGGACCTGCTGTCCCCGGGGTGGCTGTGCCTGTCGCTGCTCCCTCCTGCTGTCCCTGCGGGGTGGGACAGGGACAGTGGGACAGTGTGTAGAAGACAAAGTCTTTATAAGCTATAATTATTTATGATGAGAGATTTGTACATTTAGCCACTTCTGTGGGGGAAAAAAACCCAACCAACAAACCCAAACCCAACACAAAGCCGCCTTTCCTTTATTCCTATATTTTCCTCTCTATTAAGGAACTCCAGAGGCCAGAGAAGCCGGGGGTTTGGTGACACGGGGCTCTCCCCCCGTGGGGTCCCCCCCGGGACGGGACGTGCCCCACCGGCACCGTGGGGAAGGCTGGGCAATGGCCGTTTGCTCTTTCGCCGCCCGTTTCGATGGGGGTCCGGTGGCCGGTTGGCCGTGGCGTGAGGTGACCCCAGCAGCGCGGTGGCGGGAGGGGGTTCTCCCTGCACCCCTGAGCCCACCCGCAGCCGCGATCCCGGGGTGGGG